TTGCCTGAGGAGGGGATTGTCATGTCTAGCGGCTACGTCAAATCGTTTCTCCGCGTTTTGTCTTATTGTCTGTGTAGCGTTTGTGTATTGTAAGTCTCGTAATATGTCAGTGTTTCTTACGTACCAGGGCGCGTCGGTGGCCGTGCGGAGGGCTATGTTTTCCACAGCCTGTAATGACTTTAAGTGGCTTTTTGCCGCGTGACCCCACGCCGTGGAGGCGTAGGTTAGCTGCGGTTGAAGTACCACCTTGATAAGCGTTCGCTTATTCCTTAAACTGAGGGTGTTTCCACCTTTGAGTAAGGGATAGAGCCTAGCCCTGGTGGTCTTCGCTCGCGCCACCGTCTCCACGATGTGCGGTTTCCACGTGAGACGCTGGTCCATCGTCACGCCCAGGTATCGTGTTTGTCGATTCCAGGAGATAGGTTCCTGGGATAGTGTCAGTCTGTCGAGGTTTTGTGGGATTTTTCGTTTGGTAAAAAGGATAGCCGAACTTTTGTTGGGATTAATTTTGACTTTCCACCTGTTGCACCAGGTTTCAAGTTGGTCTAAGGAGTTTTGGAGGAGGGAGACGGAATATCTAGGATCTACGGATTGGGATGTGATTGTCAGGTCGTCGGCGTATAAGTATATGTTGGTGTTGGGGGGATGTGGGATGTCGGAGTTGTAAATGGGGTATAGGTGTGGAGACAGGACGGTGCCCTGGGGGACACCGGCCTCCATGGGTTATAGAGTTTGTGTTCCGGAAAGGAATTATTGAAAAGATTTATTATCAGCTTAAAAAAATTGCAATACTGGTTTTAATAACGGGTACACTTCTAACTGTATCATCAAAACATATTTTTAATTTCCAGATTTAGAACTAAAACAAGTATATAAAAACAAATATAGATACTTTATTCATCACTATACATTTCACAAAATCACAAAAAATAAGATATAGTAATATAAAATATACAATTGAAAATTACGATAAAATACTTAAAAGTACAATACAATCAATAACATTTCGGATTAAGTACAAATTAATCTCAAATAACGTACTGAACAATACAAATAATATCACTTATTACTAGGAGTAAGAATCACTTTCCCTCACCGAATATAAAATTTTCTAACATAATCTCAACTGTTAATGGATCTCGAGAATTTTTTTGTCATGAAAATTCGTACCAAGATTGGAGAAATTCGAGTTTAATTTCAAAATTAGAATATTTGGTTCAAGTTCACATTCTCATCTAGCTCAAAAAGCAAGTAGGCATTAGGGATGTCCCCAATATACCGGTTGTATAGACCATGATACAAAGAATATATAAGTGAGGTTAGAAAACAACCTTCAAACAAAAGTAAGGTTATTTGAAGGTTGTTTTCTAACCTCACTTATATAATTTAGAATGGTTCAATGATTCATTTAAGGAAAAAACTGGAAGATTTGATATTACGAGACTAGACGAGAAACAGCACCATGAATAAAAGCCCTGTAAACAATACTAAATAATGATATAACCTAATTTCGACAAACTAAAGATAATATCACACTTCTTAAAGCAAAATCACTTAAAAAATCATTTCCCTATAATATCTGGACTAGAATTCCTCGATAAATTCCTTATGCTCCTAATATTTTTAAGCTCTCTGGTACCGTTGTAGGTAAAGGTGACATCACAGTTGCTTAGGGGGTGGTGGCTGATTGTCTTTGGACTGAGAGGGGTATCGACGCCACTATCCGACGAGTTAGTAGGCGATACTTTACTGGTGTCGAAATCCAATGGCAAACTCACAGGCTTCTCGTTAGCAACATTCTTTGTGCTTGGTTCGTTTTCGACGTCTTGGATCTTAATGTCGATTTTAGCACCGCAGCTCATCGTACTATTAACGGTGTTTTGAGCATTGAGTCTTTGTTGCAAAATATTATTATGCGAACTGGAAAAAAACTTTGACATTTTCTCCGTAGAGTTGCTTTGCGACTGAGTTTTTAACTCGGGATTGTTGACAGCGTGAGCGTTCAGACTGTTCGTACGGAACATGTTCTGGTCCACGATGTTTGGTATGGATATTTTCCCGGTGCTTAGAGACTTAACCATCACCTTATTATCTGGTAGCGTCTCCGACGCCTTTTGGAACATCTTCATCAAGTTATTTTGCTGCGGTTTGAACTCGCTTTTGCGCCGTTCAGTGAACGTTATCTGGGATAGTATCCTGCGCACGTCATCGGGAATCTCGACGTCAACTTTCTGTTCCACTAGATTATTTATGAAGTTGCCCAGAGTGGCTATGGTGACGTCTTGGGCTCTGCTCTGCATCTCCAAACGATTCAGCTGTGATTGCAGTAATACTCTAGTTTTTTCAAGACGTTGAACGTTCGCCAAGGCCAGCTCCAACTGGCTCATCAATGCTTTATTCTGTTCGGTCAAGGTCTTGTTTTGAGCCTCCATTTTGTGCAAGGCCTCTACCTGAGGCTGCACGGACGACATTTCTTCCTGCAGGACTTGATATTCCACTTTATATTCTTCCAGCTGCTTCGTAATATCTGTTGTGTACACCTGGAAGAAACAAAACGTCAAAAATGCTTCGCGTAAAATATAACTTGTAAATTTACTTGTTTCATTATTTTGTCCAAGATGGGTTTGTCGATGTTTGGGATTTGGACTTTTATATAGTTCATTATTTCCTCGAAACTATCACACAGCAACAGTTTGTCTCTGTGGTAAGAAAGGAGGGCTAAGGCAACGCGGAATATAACGTCGGGACCTTCCAAAAACATCAGGTCTACGATAAAAAAAAATATTAATTAGATGTGATACAGAAATATTAAAATATTCCACTTACCAAATACTCTGGTGACAAAACCAAGAGGGAATTGCGAGGCGAAGACAGTTAGCAACCAAGGTGCCGCATATAACGTGGGAGCAACTTCGTAGAAGTCGAAGTGATTGTACAAATCGGACAACTGGTCATGAACCAGTCTTGACAGTTGGTACAGCTTTATCTGAAGGCACATCATGTCAGGCAGGTACTGCTTACGAAGACCTCTTCGGTACATCAAGTGGCGTAGAACGAAAAATGCTTGGGATTCTTCCATCTACAACAAAGTTTATGTTTGTAATCCCTACTCAATGCCTACTGGCACAAAGCATCACTTTGTACCTACTGATATAGTTCGCTTTCTGAGATATAACCTATAATGTTTATGACATTGGTACCAAATGCCTACTGGCATAAAACATTATACCTACCAGTAGGTCACACAGTGCCACTAGCTACAAATGCTTTGTTACAGTAGGCATCGAGCAGCAATGACATTTGAGATATTGTAGGTTATATCTCACCCACACAACTAATTGGCAACTTACATGTAGGAGAAGAACACCTGCTACAAAACTCAAACCCTGACAATAACCAACTTCGGGATCCAACAAAGAATATGCTTTCAACAGATTAAAGAGTGCCAGCTGACCAGGTCCTAAAGGACTGCTAAAGTATGAATGATTTGGAAAAGTACGACCTGAAAATAGTGTAAATGTACCATCGTTCATTTTGCACTGAAATATACATACCTAGGTCAATAAGTATAGCATGTTGATGCGACGTTAACTGCCGTAAGAGAGTCTCGTATGGGGTGTTGTAGTTGGGATATTTTGTGGTATCGATTGGAGGGATTTTAGCGCAAAACTGTTCAGCAAGGAATTGCCAAACGTCACCACGTTTGCCTCTGGGCACACCTAAAAGGAATCATTTATGTAATCCACACTTCTTAAAGTTCACATATCGTACCTTGTCTTATAGCGTGCAATAACATTTGTTTATCGCATTTGACCCTCCCTACGTCTTTATTAGTAACCATCTCCCAAACATCCATTACCTCTCTTTGAGTGGGTTTCATCTCGTCGTACTCCAATTTTATCCTCTTCACGGCGGATTCCTCTTGCTTGGCTAAAAAAATAATATGATCGTACCTCAAGGAACAATTCTGTGACCACTTCATACTTACCCCTTATCCTGGCGTTTTCTTTTTCCATACGGACCAACAATATAGCCTGATATATAGATTTCTTCCACAATATCCTCAACTCTTCCTTCGTCCTATTCCTGGTCGGCTCTTCTACTTTTTCCTGCTTGTTCGGGGTCATAACTCTTTTAAATATCGCCTGTCTCCAAGACCCCGCGTCTAACTTATTGGGACTACCTTCTTCTGAAGTTATGGATTTAGGACTGTTTCCCACCTTCAAAAAGCTAAAACCAGAATGGGAGTACTACTAGGTTCCGTACTTGGGCTATAAACACTTACATGTCCATCATAGGTGACTTAACCCCTTTCTCTGAACCGATACTCCTATCTGGCGACACGGAACCTTTGTGACCTTGTTCTCTAATCGAGAGGTGATCCTTAAGGTCACTTTGAGAACCTATCGTTGAAGATCGCGATCGGGTACCTTCGGATTCTTTGTCCGAGATGTCGGCGATGCTCGGGACGGGAGAATGTGGCGAGGATTCCTACAAATAATAAAGAAATTCTTAAGAAAATTACTATAATGTTGTAATGGTATTTACTCTGTTCAAATTATTGGTTATAGGCAAGTTCATTCCTTTTAATGTCGAACCAAAATCGTCTCTAGATCCCTTTCTCTTCAAAAGCTGGTCGAAAGAGTTTGTTAGAGACCGTTTGGCTTTTGTAAATATTGTACTGCTACCCAGGTACTGGTTTAAAAATTCAGATCTGAAAATAGAATCATAGTAAGCCCAGGCGCAATTTTTAATAGTTTTAACGATAACTTTACCTATTCTCAGCGGTGTCATGAACATGACGACCTTGCTTCATCTCGCAATGCGCCCTAAGCAGCATCATGAGAAACTCATTTTGTTCCCTAACCGAATCTGTCTCTGCTCCCCTGAATTTGGTCAGAATGATCGATTGTTCTTCCTCGTCCAGCTGTTCTAATCTAAAAAACACAAAAATTAACAAACATCGGTTTCATATGTACATTGGTACCTTCTTAAAATGGCTGCCTGTGTCTTTCTATCCGACATGTGTTCGATTTCCACACAAAGCTTATGGTACCAAACCATAGGACAATGTTCACAAGACGTAAGAGAATTCCTTGGCCTAGATTCTGCACTTAAGAAAGCTTGAGTAATCGCTACAAAGAAATTAGGTGATTAAAAATTGCAAGATTTGTACCAACCATGAAAAATTACCGGCACAAGCGTCACTGGCTATCGATGGAGATTCGCATTTGAAAATAAACGCCATATACGTCTGGGAAGTGTTGCCTTCTTTACAAATAAAGCCAAAATGCTCAGCTCGAATTTGACCCTAGAAAATATAATTTATAAGCTTCAAACAACTAAAGAGGGCCGAGTACGAGTCCTCGTGGTACGGCTTACCTGAACGCAAGTGGTGACATCTTTGTGATGTTTATGCAACAATATCACTTTCCTATCTGGACTGATGAGTCTCAAATCTGTCCTGTCAACTTGCAGTACCATTGTGCGGTTGTGATCGTCTATATTTACTGAAGTCTTGGCATCTTTGGGCTGGCGAACGTCTCTTTGACTGCTGGTGGACTCGTCGCTGGAGTTAGAAGTACTTTGAGCATTTGTCTTTTCCTGTTCTGATTCCGGCTGGGAGATGGCCTCGCTTTCTATCCTCTCGGGAAGCTTCCTGCTTACATCTAGGGGTTTTATGAGCAAATTCGAGTGTGCTGATTGAGAACGGAGAAGCGGAGGTACGGAAGGCGCAGAAATGCTAAGGCTGTCCTCGCTGGTGGACGAATCCTGAAAGTTCGTGTTCGTAGAGAAACTCCTTCCGAGTACCAAAGCAGTACTTACGGCAGAACCCCTTCTAACGATATTGTCTTCGCTCTGAAGACGTCCAATGTTGCTAAGCTGTCTCAAACGGTTCTTTTCCAATTCGTGGGCTTTGAATTTCTCTAAAGCGTCATCTATGAAAGTTTCCGGAACTTTCTTTTGCCATACTTTGATTTTTCCTATGTATAAAACCTGCAAATAAAAAATATATGCACCAGGTGTCCGAAGAATTCCTAAACTAATCCTACCTCGAAAAAGTTGCTAGAACTAGGCGAGATATCCACACAGAGCGAAGTTAGATTGGCGGCACTGCTTATCGACCTAGTAGGCGTTGCGTGGTTTTGCTCCTTCATTTGTTTATACAAATCGGTCACCTGAAACAATAGACTGATGAAAAAAAGGAGGTCATGTCGCGGCATCTAGATAAGAGCGAAGGGGAAGAAAATTAGATATATTTAATAACTTAATGGCATTAACAGGATTAGGGTTAACTTCCTGCCGTTCTGCTTGGTTGCAAGTAGGTGAGAGAGGGTTTATCAGCTGGTTAAAATCAAATTAACGGGATTGAATGGCACAGTTGTTGATGTGCTGCGGTTTTAATGTGGTGTCATTGAGGGGAAACAGAAAAATAATTATTAAAAGTGAGGCAAATGCCTAAAAATGTGTGCAGTGTGCTTTTTTGCACAGATGTAAGCCCCTTTGACTTTTTGTTTACATGTTCGCCATAAGCTTGTGGAAGAGATTTTTGTCAGTGGTTAGATTTAGAAACCTTAGAAGGAGGTTGTAATTTGACCGATACATTATGGAAATTTTATTTTTGAAAAACCCAGTGAAAATACAGGGTAATTTTATGTTGGGCGATTTTATTCCTTATTAAACTTTGTTCTATAATATATTTTTGTTGTATATTTTTTAAATATTTATTCTATTATTAGCTCGTTTATTTATAAATCTATAAACGAGTTTGAATGAAATTTGTTGCAACTTATAAATGGTCTTTTAATTGGAGTGCAAGACATTTATTTTTTGTGTAAAAATAAGTATGCTACTAAGTTTTTCCTATAAATAAATAAATTTAAATAATATCGACCAGTCTATAAAAAAACGCCTCTTACTATTTTTTTGAATGCCCTATTTACGTTATTTCGCTTATCTTCTATTTTTTGAATCTTTAAGATCTTGGTTACCTACCTCAAAATATATAGTCATTCAAAATAAGAAAAATTGGAGAATTTGATGACGAACAACTTGTCAAAGAAAAATTTGATCTTCTGTTTTTCATTTTGCAGTTATCGACGAAGAACTGAAAGTTTTGATTTCAGTTGGTTTTTTAAGCAAAAGCAGAAAGAGGACTTTTTAATATTTGTATGAACACTTTTTTTGAGGAATCCAAATATGTAATCATGGTACCTATCAAAATTGAGCAACTTTTGTTTTTTTATAAGTGTCACATTGGTTTTTCATATTTTTTTGTTTTTCCGTTTGAAAATATAAATTTTGAAGTCAGTTAAATTTTAATTGACAATATCAAAGTTCAGATAATTAGAAATACAATTTTCACATGAAACAAAGCCAGATCTTGTTAAAATTAATCAATGAATAGAAATATCACGCTCTTCAAGCAAAAATTGTATTTTTAGTGATCTAAGCTTCGACAAAGTTAATGAAAATTTAACTAACTTGTCAAAATTTCCTTAAAGTGGATCTTCCGTTTTCAAAGTACTCTTTGTAAAAATGGATAACAATGTTCCTCAATATTAGAAATTTAGGTATGCAAAGATATCTAACCCCACAGACAACATTTCTAACTATTGACATTGATTGACATTGTGGGAAAGAATTATTCCATGTGCCACCGAATTATATCATGACAGTACCTGGTAAACATCTAGTAAGAAATATAAATAAAAGAAAACCTTTTAAACTTTTTAAACCCTGATTTATTGAAATTGTTAAATACTGAAACCACTCAAAGAAATATCTTGTGTTCTTATTGTTCTATTATCACCCTTGACAAAGCCTAATCACGAAAAAAAATAGTGACTACAAAGAGATTTTTTGTTTCAACTTTTACTCAGTATTGTTTCATCAGGTAGCTTCCTTTCGTATAGCATTAATAAATATTAATTGTAGAAGAAAATTATATACAAAAAACATAAAACTTTTAGAAAAAATGATTGTCAAAAAAGTGTTGAACATGACAAGATCGATTATGACTGTTTTTCTACGTAAAAAAATATTTGCCCTCTTTACTAAATTTCTTTTAAAAAACGTATCTCTTTTATTATTACCTCTCCCATTTTTTTATCTATTTTAAAAATACATGGGTAGCGGCGCTCTAGAGATTGAATAAAAGATTATTTTCGGAAATTTTCAAAGCAAAATTGATAAAAGATTTAGTGTCAGAAATAAAAAGGCTTTATTGTACATGTTTTCTGGGAGTATTATATTTTTTTTCAAACTATTTGGATTCAAAATGGCAGCTGTAGTAGGTGATGACCAACATCGACACCTTTTTTTTTCAGAGGCTGGAAAGGTTTCTTCTAAATTGATATTTTCTTCATCCTCTTCACAAGATATTTCTTTGAATGAGTGCATTATTTAACAATCAATTGTGTGTTTTTGTAATAATTATATTTAGACATATCATTTTCAGTATTTATTTTGGACAATTATTTATTATTACTTGTTTATACGGTATTGCTGTCTGTGATGTAATGTTATTTAGTTGGGGCATGCAGTTTATAGAGTAGTTCTTTTTTACAATGTTAGCAATCAGAAATCTTGTCTGGGGGGTTACATATATTTTGCATACCTAAATTTCTGGTATCAAAGAATATTGTTTGATTTTATTTGACAAGATTAAACAAAACTGAATCTGTTTGAATTAGCTTAATACCTTTAAAATACAGTAAAATATGGGAGCTAATAAAAAAATGTCAAAAAAGGTAAACAATGCTTAAAATAATTTAAAAAATGTAAAAATTTAATATGGTGCCCATCAAAAAAGACAAGAGTTGCTTGTCATATGCCACAAAAAATATCCTAACAATTTTTGAGTTTAAAAAGTCCACCTCTTTCCGTTTCCGATTAAAAAAATTAAAATGTAAATGAAAATTTTTCGATTTTCGTCATCAAATTCTACAATCTTGCCCTAATTTTATCGACCTTGTATCTCTTAAAATAAACGAGATCACAATTGTGCGTCTCGAAAAACGGGCACCATAAAGCATGTCAGATTTTTCGAAACTACGCATTTTTTGTTGACTCAACATCATTCTGTAATAGAAAAGACCGCAACCTATGTATATATTTCTGCTGTAGTCTGAAAAGATCGACTGAAAATCTAAAAAAAAGCGTTATGCAACACTGAATCCCACTTAAAAATCTTAAAATGATATTGCGAGTCTAAAAATAAGCATAAACATGTTTCAATAAAATCCAAGTTGAAAACCAACAATCCAAGGTTGGGGTCAACAGTATTCAAAATATGAAAAAAAAGCATAAGGTTTGGCAAATCTCTATCGAGAACTACTTGGCAGGATAAAAATAGAGGATCCTGTTGATGTAGAGTTTTAAAAAAAATAAACTGTAGTTTTCTTTGAGTAAAATGATCTTTGTTCCATAAAGGAAAACTGACAATAGTTGATTGACGTCACTTCAATTCTTGGGAGTTTTTCAGCACATATACGTCGTAGGACTTATCCAGGATTTAGGATAATCACTGTCAATACTATACAAGACATTGGTAAGGCGAATTTGGGGTGAATAACTGAATAACGTATTATTTATACCTAAAAAAATATTGCGGTGTCATTCACTGTTTGGATTTCAAATAAAAATACAAAATATTGAGTGGTGCCAAGTATATAGACCTAGGTGGCCATTCAACGCACACCTAATCCTAAAGAAACTACTAATCATCAATCTACGCAGCCCAAATAAAAATATTTACGAAAACAACCACTTGCCAGTTAATTTCATAAAAAAGGTACTCACGGCTTTCTTCTCGATGTAGGAAGCATCGCTGTGCGAACTGATCAAGGGACTGTGTAACCCCAACGGTATAGTGATCATCTTGTAAGTAAACCAAAATAAAACAATTCAATTTATCACAACTCAATAAATCCAAACATATCACGAATGAATTCGAACTTGTAAAATTATTATCACCTCCCTAATATGTTCACCAAACACCAATTAACACCACCGCGACGTCAACGGAATCCAAGTTCGCACCAATTTGACTTTAGCGGGGGACTTCGGACCCTGCGTCTCGCAGTCTTTAACGGCTATGACTGAGTAAGAGAAAATCTGGCTACTTTTCAATTTCGGCGTGAAACATGTGGAGCAGAAGAAAATGACGTAGGACGTCTAAATTTAAAGCTATCACACTCTGGAATAGTGGCATTGTACACGGTGGACCAAGAAGGGGATCTTAGAGACCAGAGATCTAGTTCACGCGTGGTGCAAATGTCATTAGGCACTTCAAGTATTGTCGAAGCAGTCTTAACGTAAACAAAACTATTTGGTTCCTGACAAAAAGAGACCTGGAATATTTACCCCTTGAACCAGGGAATAATGCGCGAATCTGGCATCACTGTTTCACTGCTTTTAGTTGAGCTGTCACCTTTTGGCACTTTTAGCAGTGTAACAAATCATCGTGAGATAAAAATATCTTTTAATGAATTAAAAACTGCATATTTCATTAACGATAACAAGATGAGCAAGTCCTCGCTTTTTGAAGCCACACGCAAATGTCCTTTCTAAATTATGGAAAAAAGTGAGTAGGATATCTATGTAGGAAAATTAATTGAAGAAAAAAGTATGTTATATCTTAATTGTCAATGGCTTTGTATCTATGGCAAATACCGACCTGCTAAATCTAAGACATTATGAAAATGTGACTAAAACATTTTAAATACTACTACTCTGCGGGTTACAGCCCTGTATAGAATTGAATCGTGTCTGCAGAGAACAGCTAAATGTTGATAAATAAAACTGAAACCGGTCTGCGTCTGATTATTCTGCTGACGAATGTTTACTAGATACTGCGGACTTAATTCAACACTGGACGGGGCTATAGTCAGAAGAGTAGTTGTTTCCCACAATAATAATTGAAGAATTGTGGTATTTTCAAACGAATTTTTCAAGGACCTTGGATAGTGAATAAATATCACCATCGCCCATAACTAGATTTTTTGGGTCACCGTATATATATATACAACTATTTTTAGAGCTAAAAAAAGCAACAGGAAGATCCAAATGGTTACTAGGGAAGGTCCCAGCGGTGAAATTTACAAGTATACTAAGCATCTTCACCCGGATGTTACCTGTTGCTCTGTAAACCCAGATATTTGTGCAGTCGGTGATT